CTTGGACTGAAAAAATGCCAAGGTACTTGAATGCGTTCTTTATCCCAGGTTTCTTACTGCGTGAGCAATTTTTGGTTTAGATCGGGGTTCTTCATGGAGTCTAGATTCCTTTTTTCTGCTCGTGAATCTTCCTGCGAGTGGTATGAATTTTCTCACGCTTGAATTACCTTGTTGTTTTAACTTCTTCTTCTTCTGTCCTCTCTCCTCCTGTCCAAGCTTTGTGACTATAAATTCCTCCAGGACTATGGAGTATTTGACTTTAAGATCCATTGCTGACATCCGATTTCCTTTTTTTGAGAGTGAGAATTTTAAAATTTTAAAAGTTAAAATTTTCCAGCTGCTATCCCTACATAGATATTTCAGAAAACTAATTTTTTTCTGAGTATTGGTACTATTAGGTTTAAACAACGTAGGTGTCAACAGTCTTTAATGACTGAGCTGTTAACTACAGATATGCTGGTGGTGTTCCCCTCTCTGCTTAGTGACAGGAGCAGGATTGCTGCTGTAGGAGGACGTAGGTCCTGATGATGCAGGCAGTTCCTTCTCTCCTGTTTTCCTGAGATGCAGCACTGTCAGATGCTGTCACGACAGGTTCCTGCTGCAACTCCTCTGGGCAGTGCTTCTGAAGGAACACGAGAAGGTGAGGGGTATTCTTTCTTTTTCCATATAATGCTCCTGAATAGTCCAGGTTCTGCTTAGCTGGCTGCTGTGCTCTAAATGGAGTTCTCTCGGGTCTTTCATGTTTCTCTGAGTATTTCAATACACATTTCTTCACTCGGTGCAGCGTCAGTTTGGTGGATTGCATAAATTTGTGTGCATCAATTTCTCATAGATGCTAGCATGCATCAAGGCCCCTTTTATCCTGTTGATGTGATTATTTCAGAGACATGAAGGCTATTCCATGCTCATCACATTGTAATTGAGATCTTTGATATTTGGCGGCTCTCCTCCTTCTAGCAGATGTATGTCTAGACCTTCTGTGCTTCTTTGCAAAATCTCGGTCACTTTCTCTTCCAGACCTGAGTCCGGCTTTGACATCTAATGTGCAGCAAGCACTGAAAAATGCCCTCAGAAGGGCAGCTACCTTTGCTGCCTGTGTTGTGCTACCCTGTTCCACCCTCTGCACTCTTGAAGTCATTTGGATGGAGAAGAAGCCGGAGAAGATGGTGGTGTTTTCTCTGAGGCAATGGCAGTCTTGTCTTTACTGGTTAAACTCAGTAGCGTGGTGTACCAAGGCCGTGGTCCCTGGTTGATGTGCTTTTGTTAAATCGAGCTGTGCTGTCTGTGTAACATGCAGGTCTGATCTGCCACAAAAATAAAAACCTGTCTCTAGATGAGTCAGGGCTAAACTTGTCATGTCATCAGCTGATTACCTCTCAGTAATACCTGCTCATTTGTATGCGGCTTTTGCAGTGTCACACACTCAGGGTTATAGCTCATCGGCCCGTGTATCTGTAAGGCACCTTGTACTTCATCTCATTTATGTGAAACAAGTTTTCTTTTTTATCTCTTGCCAGTTAAGTTATCCTGAGATGTCCCTGCTCTGAGCCCAGGTGAAGGGTTTTCTGTCCAATGCCATCGCTAGGCTCCATGGGACTTGAACTGCGTGGGATCATGGAGGCAAAACTGACCTGAGAGAAAACTATGATTGCATGACTTGTGTTAATACAGTGTGTTGAAAAAGAAATAGAAAAGAATGGGATGAATAGAGCAGCTACCATCTGTTTGAATTTTGCTCTGACTTTATTTTGATCAAGTCAATGGGTAAATGGCACGTTAACGATACTGGCGGGTGCTGGTAAACTTGAGTGACTGTGAGCGCAGTGAGGGCAGCTCAGAAGCACAAAGGGCTTGGCAAGGGGAGACTACGCATACGGAGCTAGCATGGCCGGCAGTGTCCCCTTGGCAAAGGGCACATGCAGACATCGGTGGGAGATCAGCTGAGGCCCAGCCAAGGAAAA